TATCTGTCAACGTGATTAACACGGTATCAAGAGTCAGGACCCATTGGTTATATTGGGTCAGGAGAAAAATTTTAATACAAAACAGACCGTCAGAGGACACCTGTAAAGGAATTACCAAACCAGTTTACAAGAAGGTAGACAGGAAACTATAAAGGAATTACAGTGTTTTGCTAGACGTTAAAAATTTGCAGAAGAATACTTTGTAATGCAGTCAAAAATTGATGGTCTTGACCAAGACACAGCTGCTCTCACACAACTCTCCGTGAGTTGGAACACGCTCTTGCCACCATTGGTACAGTTGCTGGAAGCAGTTCTGGAATTGCTGGATGTCACACAGAGCATCTTGAGTTGCAGCAATAACTTATTGCCTGCTGTTGAAATGATATCCTCCCAAATGTTTTTCTCTCTTGAGGAAAGAGTCATCAGATGGTGAGAGATCATGCGATTAAGATTGATGTGATAACACGATAGTATTGTGTTCAGCTAGCGATTTTTGCAGAAGAATTGAGAGGGGTTCTCGTGCAACAGATTTATGTCACCAGTCATTGGTCCCCTCCTGCAGCTGGTGCAACTTTTGTTTGATCTCTCCTTGTTCAGACTTGCATCTGGAATGAATTTGTAGTGCACAGGACCACAAAACTCAGACTACTGGTATCACTTTCCGTTTTGACCTCTCACTGTAACGTTTTTATCACAGTGAATGAGGTGAACTACTGGTCAGTGGATCATGCTTTGTCTGTTAGTGAAAGAGATGAAAAGTCTCATCCATGACAGTGATGGTCCGAGGGAGCGAAAGGTGTTACCAGATGTCAATGTGAGATCACTGCAGATTGTCATCCACTCACTTTGCGTTCAAGGCGTCTCATGCTGATTAACTCGATGCATGTTCAAAAATCTCTTAAAGCTCCATGGCAATTTCCATGCGTTTGAAGATCCTGCACTTTTGTCAACAGTCATGCAGCTCTTCTGACACATGAATTGTCCACCTGGTTCTCTTTTTCTTGGGCAGTTAAATGACTTTCACTACAGTCATTTTCCCTAAACATTTTCTTCCGTCTTTTGGATCTCGAATGCCATTTAAACTTGGTAATGCAATGTGGGGAATCTTATCCGCAAAGCTAATGCACCATTTCTAGTGTTTCACAAGCAACATTGCCGAAGTCTTGACAGAATTTTATGTTAGAGCCTTTTTGCAACTTCAGTCTTGTGGAGAGCGTTATTTGGCAGGAACACTGTTTTCTAACTGAATATTCAACAGAGGACTAAGTTACGTTACTGTTGTTCCAGAGCATTATGTCCCAACTGTTGGAGTCGGGAGGAGCATTTCCAGATGATGAAACGATATTGTACCTGGCAGAAATCATCGACGCTATGGATTATCTGCATAAGGTAGGCAAACAGCCCAACTGCAGTTCTGTGCAATAAAATATATTATAACAAGGCAGTTTAAAGCCTGAAGGTAGAATTTTTTGGTTTCATTCAATATGTAATTTATTCACTACATACCAATCATTGTATTCTTGTGTCTTATCATATAAAGAATCGATACTCACACTAGTGTACAATATTAAAATTGAAAGTAGATTATATTGTGCGGGGGGTGGTGGTAAAGCTGAAGTTTTTCCTAACATCTGACACACCTTCATACCAGCCTTCTGGAAATAAGCAACATGGTAGATCCTCACTCATAATCACAGCTACAGATCTGATTGGTTAGGGTTCGTGGTATTCAATTTAATCAGTAACAGTGACAGCTTAGTTTGGGTGGTATATAGCAGAAAAGGAAAATACTGAAACTGCATCTCATTACTGCAGTAAGACTGCAAGATATACCATATTTTATCCCCTCAGTAGAGGTAATTTGTTTCTTTCAGTTAAGAGTCATATGCCGAGACCTAAAACCTGACAATATGTTGGTAGATCTTCAGGGCCACATTGCTGTCGCAGATTATGGTCTATACAAAGTTTGTCAGCTCTGAAGAGGAAAATATTGTATCCACCTTATCATTTATTCAGTTTGCGTACAAGGACACGTAGGCTGTAAATGTAAGCGCAATGTGGTCCGCTGTCCATCAGGCAGTGAGTGCCCTTTATTTGAGGGGTGTCAAAGTATGAGACCTGTAAAGACTTGACAGGCTTCAAGTGACTGAAATTTGACCACAATTTTCACAGTGTGTGTAACTAAAAGATGTCACAAGGCCTGTGAATTTGAGGAGATAAACATGAAGTATAATAGTGGATATTGACACAGATAATCCAAGGGCCTAGTTTAAATATTATCTTCTTCTTCTTCACTTGTTGGACCCTGGCCACCTTAGATTAAATATTATATGAAGATAAAATTTGTGGTACATACAGCCTACTGAGTATGGTCACAGTTAAGGATCTTACTTACGATGGGTGGGGCGTGTGGGAAGAGAAGAAATGCTCCAGAGCATCAGTGGGAAAATCTCTTGGAAAATGGCAGCGTCAGAAATCATTAAGGAAAAGAATCGTAGCATTAAGACGAATGTTAGAGAAATGTATTCTGAACGCAAGAGGTGGATGGAAGTCGCTCAAGACTTTGCCCACTGGTGGTCAACACTTTTTGACATGATCAGTTTTGTTTTCTGTTACCAGACACTTTCTAGTTGTTTTATGCCCCAAATTCCTGTCACAGTTACTCAAATTGTTGTTTCCATCTTCAGGGTGATTGTGCATATTCACAGGACGTCACAAGTCAGTACGTGGTGCCAGAGATATTTATCGGTGAAGGCTTCAGCTATGTAAGTTTCTTGTCCATTAACAATATTATAATAATGAGCTCTTGGTTTTATGTGACTCAACCTAACGCGTGATTAATGCAAACTAACAAGAAAACACATTGTAATAATCTGAGGGTTTGGAGCCACAAGCAGTTTGTAACGACACGTGCATAAA